GGAGAAGAAATGTGGGCTAACTTGATGGCACTGTCCTCCCAGGTTGAGGAGGAGAGTGCAGTTGGCGATGGAGAGAGGGAATATGCCGCTGATGACGCGGGTGAGTGGGAGGTTAGGGATGAGAGTGCAGTTGGCGATGGGGAGGGGGAATATGCCACTGATGACCCAGGTGAGTGGTAAGGGGAGTGGGGGCTATTGGCAATGGTGGAAATGACGGAAGCGGCGGCGGGAACGGCAACAGTAACAACAATAACATCTACAACAACAATATTCGAGGTGGAGCAGGGGCCGGCAGAGGAGAGGCAAGGAATGGGTGGGATTGGCGAGAAGGGTGGGATGGTCAACAACAACAATGACAACAACAATAATAGCAACTTTAATAACGCCGGCGAGCGGCGAATGGGTGAACTGGGTGAGATAGGAGTGAAGGAGGATAACAACAACAACAACAACAACGACGACGACGACGACGACGACGACGACGACGACGACGACGACGACGACGACGACGACGACGACGACGACGACGACGGCGACACCAACACGATGGAGGAGAGGGGAGAGAACACCAATGACATGGAGGAGAAGGGAGAGAACGCTGACAACAACGACAACAACAACAACAAAGTTCGCAAAAACAACGAGATGGTTGAGATGGGAGAGGATGTTGACAACAACAACAACAACAACAACGATAACAATGACGGTGAGCAGGGACTGGGGGAAAAGGGTGAGGTGGGTGAGATGGATGCCACGGACAACAACAACTACGGCAACATGGGAGAGATGGATGGCACGGACAACAACAACGACGGCAACATAGGAAAGATGCCGCCATCAGTGCAGTGGGGGGGAGTTTGTAGCTTGTTGTGGCGGGCGAAGTGGGGTTTGAGGTTGAAGGTACGATTTAATGTTCCCCCTGACCCCTGCCCCGTGTTTCCTCATGATGAATCATCTCCTCTTTTCTGGCATCGGGTAGGGATAGGATAGATGATCTCCGTGTGATGATTAGGGTCGATTGCTTCTTACCTTTCTGACCCTCAACTCTTAATCATGAAATGATTGTTGATGATTACGCTTGTTATTGTTGTGAACATATGTTCAAGAAATCTTTACACAGCTATACATATCATGGTATTGGAGATATACGCTTTATGAGCAGGAGGTCAATCCTTCCCCTGTGTTGGGAAGTAATCAATGCCTCTGCTCCTTCTAGTGACACCGGTGAGCCAAGTACATATACAGTCAGTTCGCATACATCTAGTATGGAGATCCTGGACTCGGTTTCCAGCTCACATAGAGTTCATCAATTATCAATACAATTGGGCTTGATGCCTCGCTTATTATAGTGCTATGCTAGGTTAGAGGATAGGGTTTTCCCTTCCGGGGACATGTATTAATCGATGAATGAAGACAGGTCGTTTGGATGTTGACTCATATGGATTGTTGTACAAATTGAAAAAAAAAAAAAAAAAAAAAAAAGCACCGCTTGGAAATGCGTATTGTGGTATGAGGTCGCGGGTTCAAAATGCGCATGGACACCGGCAGGGCGTGCGTTAGAATGACGCACGGCTGAACACACACGCCCTTGGGCTGACGCATGGTAAGCTATCACAGACACTGCCTGCGCACCACCCAAGGGTTGTCCACGGTGTTGTATGTCGAGTCTTGATACTGCGTGGGTTGCTTGTCACTGTTGCTCGTGGTTGTTCTATTGTCCTCCCTAGTCTGGCATATAACACACAGGTGCCGTTTGCGATTGTTGCTCAAATGGTAGAGTCTTCAGGTCACATGTCATAGATCATGGGTTCAAGTCTGGCTTGGGACTTTGGGGGGTTCTTGTCCAGCTTGGCCTGTCATCTCTTCAATGAACACATAGTTCCCTCTACATAGTACTGCACATATCTGGTCTTCGGGCATATATAGCCCTCCGGCAGACACAAAACATGGCTCGTGAATATATATATATATACATAGGATACGGGCTCATACAAACATACATAGCCTCTGGGCACAAATATATGCACAACTATGATACCGGGCTGGGGGGGTCTATCAGGTACATGACGGGGTCTACTCATGCATGGCTTAGCTCTACGGTAGGGTAGGGATACAAGTCCCTCTGGCTAGTCTGAGTTCCGCCTAGCCTTGGGTAAGTTAGGGGAAGGACGGTAGGATGTGCCCGTGGTTGCTGGCTTGCCTTGCTTAGGTACTCCTGCTGGGTAGACTCTCTGAATTGGGCCTGTAGAAGATTGCACGAGCCTGGTGTCCGAAGTTCCCGTACGACAAGGTTCGTCTGCTTCCGCTTCCACTAGGGCTGGGGGGTTGGCCCAGCCTTGGTGCTTGTCACTGCTGTCTGGTCCAAGTTGCCCTCGATACTAGTAGGGTGATGGTCCAAAGTGCTGGTCACACTGATGTGCGCTGGGAGTATTAACGTGGGGATGGGTAGGGTAGTTGGCCTATCCTGTCAGGACAACCATTGGCTGCCTCTACCAGCAATCACCCTGGGTCTGGTCCTTGGCCTCTACAACACCCTGGGCTTAAAAAAAAAAAAAAAAAAAAGGGCTAAGGCTCTCACATGTTAGACCTTGGCCTCAACCATTAGACTCTGCCTGTGACAGGCGAAGCAGTGAGGTTCTAGGTGCAGACGCCTGGATGAGGGGAGACACTGTTGGGTCTACTCATGGGGCTACAAGAGAGAACAACATTAAATTTGGCCATGACTTCACTGGTTGTTATGGGTAGATCTGCTAGAAAGATAGGTATATCTGGTAGCTCAATCGGGCTGAAGAGGCAGGTTTCTACTTTCAACTCACAATGACGTGTACCTATGACATGCTCCAACAAGCTAGAGCTCAGCTCTAAGAATTCCCGGATGAATGGATTCAAAAGTGGAGACTTCAGGTGAGGGTAAGAAAGGATACCACAGAGGGCATGATGATGAAGGCCTTCTTTAACAAAGCTAAGGCTAAATGCAGGTTAAACACGGTGCCTTCCCTCAATCACCCCTTTGATGCATCCCAACCTCAGGCTACCAATGCGTACAAAATTGTGGAGTATGTTTCCCAATACTATAAGCATTTTTTCACCTCACAAATAGTGTGGACCGATCCCCATACACTGGAGCATGCAAGAGAGACATTGATGGCGTTCGTCCCCTCTCTGATCTCCACACCCTAGACAATCGTTGTCGACACCCCGCTCTCGTGTGGAGAGCTCTTGCAGACACTTCAGGAGATGGAGGATGAAAAGACCCGCGGACGGAATTCCTTTCCGAAAGAGTTTTGGATCCAATTTTGGCCAATCTTGGAATATGACTTCATGCTATATGCTGACGCAGTCTTCAATGAGGGAACATTCGGTGGCATGATGAGGCAAGGAGTCACAACCTTGCTTTATAAAAAGGGGGACAGGTCGGAAATCCGGAACGACAGACCAATCACTCTTTTGCCAGTGTCGTATAAGATTATAGCAAAAACATGGGCTAACAGACTATTACCTATTCTCCCTCACCTAATCCACCCGGATCAATCTGGGTTCATGCCCTACCAAACATTCAAGACAACATCCTATTAGTGAACGAAACAATCCGGCATGCACGACAGCGGAAGACGGAAGGGGCCATACTGTTCATTGACTTCGAAAAAGCATATGATCACATAGACTGGGACTTCCTAGACATGTGCCTTAACAAAATGAATTTTGGCCCGAGACTATGTGCGTGGATCAGCGTCTTCCACCCCATAACAACCAGAAACGTCACCGTCAATGGCCACCGAGCCCCGCCATTTAAACTCCAACAATCAGTGAGACAAGGCAACCCGATCGCCCCCATGCTTTTCGTCCTTGTCATGGAGGCTTTGGCAGCCATGATCAGAACGAATCCTTTGATCCAGCATATTCATGTGCCCAAAATCCCTCACCATCTTATTCTAGTCAAATCTCTGTTTGTTGATGATCTCACAGTGCTCTTCAAAGCAAACTACGAGAGTTTTCAGGCCACACCATCCATCTATTTGAGATTGCCTCGGATATAAGAGTTAAGTGGGGCTAAAAAACTGAAGGTTGGTAGCTCGATCCAATGGGGGGCCAACCTCCACAGGATCCCCAAGTAGCATGGAGACATAAGGAGACTGCAATCAGAGTGCTGGAGGTGAATCTCACCGTTATGCCCCCCCCCTTCAGATCATGGGTAGACCCTCATAGAGGTTGCTATCAAGAAATTCACCCGTTGGGATGCCAAACATACATTGCTCGTGGGGAGAGTTATGGCAATAAACAATGTCATCTTCGCCTCCATATGGTACAAAGTTGCTTTCTGGCAACTTAACCGCAAACAGACCTCTGAACTCAAACAAGCGGCATCAACCTATCTGTGGAAAAACGATCATAAAGACACCCACACAATAAAGAGAGTGGTCTGGGACATTTTAGTACAACCCAGGTCCCAAGGCGGTCTGGGAATTATCGATCCAAAGAGAGAGATCAAAGCCTTTATCTTTAAATTTCCCGTCCGCCTTCTTCTTGGAAACGACATCTGAAGGGCCGCCTACGCACAAATTCAATTGGCATGTTTGCCCCCCCCATCTCATCCCCTTCATCCCGTGCACCTCTCCAATGGTTGACAAATAACTGGTGGTCCACTCCTCGTTGCCCCCGCTCGGACATAGACGACATCGCCGCAGGACGCGCAAAACGCGACCTGAAGCTGGACCCGCTCTGGACAGCCATGATCACACTTTGGAGAGAAAGGGGTCCGACCCAAGCGCCCACACCACTTAAATTGAAGGAAATTTGGCGCCAACCACTGTTTGGCCATCCATAAATCGTGGATCAGGCGGGTCTACCCCTCTTCCTCAAGGGGAACTCTAATTGGAAACACTGGGTGAAGATCGGGGACATATGGGACAATCTGGCTCGTTCATGACATTCATTGGACTACCTCAAGGCCAAGACTGGCCAGATCACGAACATGGTCCAGGGCCTACAAGAAATCCAAGAATCGATACCTTTAGCAGGGATCCAAATTTTGAAACTGGGCCCCCGCCTCAACAGAAACGATTGGGTGGTGACGGCGGAGTCCTTGGCCCTACCCATGCTCTTGTATAGAGTACAAAACACTAGGGACCATCAGACTTCACTTCAGGCATACTGCCCGGAGTGGCCATACCCCGCACATAACCTCGGGCCAAAATTAATCAAATAACAAATATTCTTCTGTTTTCTCTTTTGTTAAGGCAGCATATTGACCGACCCAAAGTGGACATTACGGTTATCCTCCAAGAAAGGTGGGCTAGACACTTATGCCTATTACATAAGGGCATAATACTTTTAAGAAACATCCGACACCGCCCAACAAAATTTGCCTCGTTACAGTTGCAAATTGTACGTAGATGTCTGTCCAGCAATGACTAGCTTATTCTTCACTCGTCGTTAGAGCAAAGACGTTCGGGAGACCCCTGGTGTAAATTTTGTTCGTCTAGGTTCCCTAGGAAACAAATTAGGGAAACTATTAAACATATTTTTTATGCAACGTAGGTTTGATTTTCATACGACGCAGATGGGACGACTTCATATGGAGAGAACTAACAGGTCTCGAGTGGCCTTCGGATTGAAAGGCTATCCTCCCTTGACACTTGGCACCGCTCGGCGAGATGTGCTCACGTCCGAGAAGACGTTTGTCAGGAAGGGGCGGAAATTACAGAGCATATTGTGCAGTTTGTACAAAGAAGATATCAAAGCCGAACGGGGGCGGAAATTTCAGAGCATCTTGGGCAATTTGTACAAAGAGATATCAAAGTCCAACGGGCTAGAGTTAAAACCAACTTACTCTCTCTCTCTCTCTCTCTCTCTCTCTCTCTCTCTCTCTCTCTCTCTCTCTCTCTCTCTCTCTCTCTCTCAACATTTGCCTTGGACTGGCTGGGAAGCGCTGGTGGAAGGAAGCTGGGAGAGGCAATATGGCCAGGAGAGGAAGGGACAGGGGAACCCCTCAAAATGGATTCTTAGCTCATCTTCAAGGACTGGTTCGCACTCCATCTGGGAGCCACACTCAGAGACCCAGGAGAGGAAGGGACAGGCGAACCCCTCAAAATGGATTTTTAGCTCATCTTCAAGGACTGGTTCACACTCCATCTGGGACAGGGGAACCCCTCAGAGACCCAATATTCATTGCAGTTCCACACAGGCCCAGCCTTTCAAGATTTCTTCATGGC